TAGAGAATCAAGAAAGGAAATTTCCTTAAGCACTCTTTCATTTCACCTTTTGATATTTTAATGAGTATTTAACTTGGATTAAAAAATTTAAACGTAGTTCGTATTACTTAAATAAACTATGGGCCGCAGACTAGTTGAGAAGCCGTAAGGTAAATCCAAACTTAATCGAACATTTATCTTAAAATAAATCTAGCAATCCTAAGTGGAAAGACATATTATTGACTATAATTTAGTCAATTCGTCCAACTTAGTCAAGTATGCAACCAAACGAATAAATTAGTTACGTTTTTATTAAGCTCCATCGCCTTCTCGTAGGGATTTGGAAGGCCAGATGAATCAATCAGCCTCTCTTCGCATCTCAAGCTATTTTGCTGATGCTGAGGATGTTGCTGTATAGAAGAGGAAGTAGTGATAGTGGCTGATGAATCCGCTTCATCATCTGTACCCAGAGTCTCTAGAGCATTGCCTGAAGAGGCAAAGCCTGATGTGTGCCCAAGTGTTGATAATGGCACTGAATCATCCAATTGGCTAGTAGAGAGATCATTAGAAGAACCGCTGATTAGGAGCATGGGAGAGTGGTTTGTTGAGCCCGATGAAACAGCAGTGGCAGCATTAGCTGCAGAGATATCACCACAGAGAGAGACGGGAGTAGCCGAATGGCAACGATGACTATGATGTGTTTGATGATGTTGTGCCTGTTGATGAAAATTATATTGTGGTGGATGGTGGGTTGGGCAAATTTGGTGAGCATCCTCCAACTTTGACGCATCAAACGCCACAACCCGGCTGGAACTACGAACTATTGGTTCTGAGACGCTTGCCTCATCGGACGAAGAAGAGGAGGAAGAAGAGGAGGAGCAAATAGAGGAAGATAGCTTGATGTTACTTGCGTTTGTGCCACTGGACAATGCATCAGTCAAGGTCTCATCTATCTTTGTCAAACCATTGGGACCAACCTCTTCGAAACCGTCGCCATGCGTGTCCAAAACACTGCTTCTCGACTGTTTAGTCAAGGTAACTGAGACCAAAACTGAGCCTGAATGTGCACTTCCAGGTGCACTAGGTCCAGAGCCTGTGGCCGAGACTGACCCTGGGGTGATTGAAACAGCCTCTTGACCAGGTCCAAGTGAGCTAGTAGTCGATTGAGTATGTGAGATACGCTCCCGAACGCGCCGCTTTTTGAAAGGTGTAACATCTAATTGACAAATAGACAGATAAAGAGAGTATTTTAAAAAGATAAATATCTCTTGATATAAAGTACTCAGTCATGGCATCTTGAGCGAGTACAAGCAAAAAACATATATTAAGAATAAATTTGACTGTCTTCCAACGTGGCTGACTCTTCATACAACCTTCCTAATGGTGCTTAGATGAAGAGTTAATGTGTGTTTGGAATTGTATCATAACGTAATCATTTCGGGGACCAACAAACTTAGGGTTCTCTCTCCAACAAAATACAAGATTTATAACTAGACTAAACAAAGTTCAAGTGATTCGTGTGCTCATCCTGATACAATGTTAATAAAATAAATAAAGATGAACAGGAAGAGTTTTACCTAGGGGCCGAAAATAACAAAGTTAATTTCGATGGATGACTCGAGAGTTGATAGAAAGTACTGGAGTGAACTATATGTAAATTCGCACACAATAGGAGGGGAATGTAGAGATCCTCTGCTAATACAAAGAATGCTTGAGTGCTAAAGAATCGACTAAAATGAAGAGTGAGCTAGATGCATGTGGAGGTGCGCGCACATATATAGGAATACCTTCTATAAAAACTAGAAATAAGAGGTTGTGACGTAGAAGTCACTCTGGTAACGAATGCAAACACATTGATAAATCAAAGGATAATCTGTTATTCATCTATAAGTAGGTTTTAGAGATTACTCGAGGATATTATATATGATATGTTCTAACCCTATTTCGTTTAAATGAATAAGAACTTGTAGTTTAATTCTCACACAATTATATGGGTAGACCCAAGGTATCCACAGCACCTACAGCGGGACTTTAACCATGATAGTACATCGTATAATTTTAGCGAAATACGGTGAGCACATCTCATATAAGTGCTACTCTACTCTCCGGGAAGAATGTTAAGCCAAGTATTATATGATTAGATCACGTTGAAGTACTCAGTATATAAATCTAATAAGGTTGTCAACTAATAGGTTTGAAAGGAGAAGCAACCACTGTACCTCGTGATTTTAGAGGAAATTGGCAAAGGCTTAGTCTAACAATATAATTCAAAATAGTAAATAGTGAACGTAGTAGACTGCGAAAAAAATTACTTGT